CTTAATGATACACTAAGTGGGTTTGCAAGTGATACCGGTGCTAATTCCCATGTAAGAGCTTCAGAAATTATAGGTCCACTTAATGTATGAACTTAGAGACTACATCTGTTGTTTGTTTTGCCTGTATTTATAGTCTCAGACAAAGAAGCAGTAGTCATGACAAAACACCCATACAAATAAGAGTCGATCGAATTATGTCTACCTGATACAAAAGGTGAAGCATAACCAACATACGAATGAAATATGAGAAAACAAGGTCGAAACTTACCACAATGTCACATAAAAAGATATAAGTTACTTGGACACAAACTGCTTTCCAAAAAGAATGCGGTGATGCTCTATCCATAGTGGCGAGGAAATACATAAATCCACAGCTCCCGTTGGTATTAATTCAGGAGAAGGATTGTAATTCACTAGCCTGTGAACTAGTGCTGTGTTCCGTGGAGCTATTTCTGTGATATTCGAGAGGGAGGAACCATGAGTTCTACCAATTTGCCGTGGGTTTATCTATTTCGGTGACCTGTGTTTTCTTGCCATTAGGTTCAGTGAGGCGATTGTAGGCATGTCTTTCAATCACTGTCTTATCTGCTTCAACACTGATTTGTTTGTAGCCCGTATCCTGTAATAGGATACATTGTGTATCGATGAATTTTCTAGGCTCTGTCACTGTTTTAGACTGAAGGCGTATAGGGCAGCAGTAGTCGTGCTGACTCTTCTTCATTCTGTGACATTTTGTTTGGGAGTTAGGCATTTTCGCCGCCCTAAGTAAGATACTTAGAACATTTTTCAACCCCTCATTATCTGGTATATTATAGACTATCACACTTAGTCTAGTATCTAGTCTTTTGATAACCTCAGTTGTGATGAAGTTTATCAAGGTGTCTACCTTAGCTACTGATCCTGTGTCAAGTTCGCCAGGGTTTATGGTCCTGGTTAGGATACCCCGAGGTATAGTTTAATAGACCTGCGATTTTATGACACTAACCTCCGTTGGTAGTTCAGATATGCTGGCTGAATTTCCTGCCATCCTGCTCACACCGCATTGTGCGTCGGTGGCGCAGCGGTTATGACTCTCGCCGACCATGCACATGGTCCAGGGTTCGACCCCTGTCGACGCACACCTGATATCTATGGTTGGCCTGCAATATTTGGGCTACCGATATCATATGCTGAAAATTCCATACTTGTACCAATAACGGCGTGGAATCAAGCTATAATCAAAAATTGAAAATAGCCTTACTACACCCTATATCCGGTATCTCAGTCTTCATCTGTTCTACGGACAGCTTCAGTCGTTCTATTTCTGAAGTGCTGAAGCTGAACTTGGTGTCTGGAGTATGGTGACGCTTGCATAGGATGTGGTGAAGAGGTCTATGTCAGGGCCAGGTGCTGAGTTTGTCGAAGCAGTGCTACTACTAGTTGTCAGCATATTTTTGCCATCAGTTCCGGCCACAGTAGATTGTAGCGATACAGCAGCTCAATGTTCGTGGTGTATTTGCAAGCCGTGTGACTCACTTCCATATTTTGTGGGAGTTGTGTTGCTCGTTGCTGCGAGCATATACGTGCAATCAGTTATCAAGTTAACAGGTGACTGAGTTGGTGACTTTTTATAGGATTTACCATAACTAGGTAGTGAAAGACTTGATGGCTACAAGTATGGAACTAAAGAAACACCTGTGCGAGTTTCACAACAAGAGCAGATTATATATAACGAATCACGCTAAAATATAACGCGACCGTTGAATGTACCGCATTGTGATATAATCAAGTATCTCTCAGAGTATGCCTCAAGTGAAGGAAGAAAACAAGAGGAAAGGATTACACATTAAAGATGAGGTGAATTAAACTAGGTCCATGCAAATTAATACATATGTGAAACTTGAGCACTGTGGTAGTATGTAATTCCTTATTGGTTTGTTTATTAGGTCCATGCAACTCAGTGCAAGATTGACCCAAGTAGTAGTAATGTAACACATCATGTTAGGCTTATTGTTTCATACGCATTAAGCAATTAAAAGCGCATTAGGAAGAATAGACTTCATTAATAATTATTGCCATCATTTAGCAACGTAATAATAATAATTTATATTTAGTATAAACTTCTAAGTTTACAAGAAATGAATGCCGTGTTTACAGGCACAGTCAGTTATAATAATAACATATTCACATTTCATGAGGGACGCCAGTTTATGGATGATACATCATTGGATGTGCACTTAAAAGATGTATACAAAAAGGAGATACAGAGTCATTGGAATGATATTACACATATGCAGTGTTTGATGCTAACCATATCGGTCATACCATGGAAGCTATGATCTTATCGATGAAAATATAGCTTTGTTCAAACATTGGTGTTGTTGTGTTTTTAATCAAAGCAAGCAACAAATATGAACAAAGAGTAAGTTTTAGCTTTATTAAAGGCCTAGGTGGTTAAGAAAATATAGAGTATAACAGTGTGTAAGTGAAATGGTTATCCTGAGGTAGGTAAGTGATATTTCAGTGAGAAGTGAATTTAAAGACCTAGAAGATTAGAACCCGCAGGACAAGCTGACCTGTAAAGTGTTTCATGAATTTCTGCAGGGCCCACGGAGTAGCATCTTGACAAGAAGCTGAACAGGCTTGTAGATGGTAGGAGTAAAATTCTTGTTGGTTTAATTTTGATCCGTACAGTCATGATTGCTTTTTATTGCTAAGGACCTATATTAATGTTTAATTCTCGAGATGTCAAAAAATGCATGTTTTGTCCTACAGATCGGAGCGATTCACATTTGTGACCACTAGCAAATCTGCTGATCAGCAGAAGAGTCGGTTACTAAAGCACCTGAGGTAGTTACCTCATACTGATACTAGGCTGGTAGTTTGTTTCACTTGGCTTACACTAGTAGGTAAAGTCAAGAAAACAACTTGTTAGTATTCTCAGCATTCTTCACCCTTCAACGGTTTCTTTCCGTTGTGATGGTGCTAACTCATGTAACACCATCCACCCTTAGGAAGAAGTTGTCACAATGTATTCACCTCCAGCTTCAAAGCTGGTTGAGTTCTCTGGGTTAAAACCGATGCTCCACCAAAGGTGTATACAGCTATTGCAAACGCTTCCATGAAGCCCGGTAATCTTCACCCAAGACCTCCGAAGGTGCTAGAACGGCATACAGCTGGCCAGCCAATCGTCATTTCCAGGTTAACCCTCTCAAGTGGAATATTTCCACATGACTGGAAAAACTCATAGTATCCTCTTTATATAAGGGACTACGTAGGCACATCTCTTCAAACCGCACTCCTGCCAATCTTACTACCGCTTCGGTCAAGATACTGAAAAGACCAATGAAGAAAGCTGTATTTGACAAACACCTCATCATCCAAAATACTTTAGAGTTTTTAGCGAAACACACTTTGTCTGACACAACTCACCGCTAGAGAGACATGGGTCCAGCCCAAGGAAAGCAAGAATTGCATCGCCGCTGTTTCCCCGGATTTGAGCAATGCTTCCGATAAGGTACCCTATACAAGACTGTTCATGGGACTGGAAATTTCGCAATCATGGGTGGTCTACTCAGCTAGATCAGGGAGTTCCTTGTAGATGGGAGACACAGAGTCTGAATTATCTGGAATCGTTTGACCGTAGTGCTGCACCGAAAGGTATGTAGCCTCCACTCACCAGTTGTGTGAACTAACAAACTACCTGTGCTTCCTAAGTCCCCCGTGGTTCTCCAAATAGTTGACGTAGAGAGTTAGTAAGGATGATGGAGAAATTCTTAAGTTGTTTGGAAGTTACAGTAGTCTGCACGCGGACGACATGGAGGGAATACCACCCCCACAGATCAAAGAGACATGGGCCCAGGTGGCACTGCATTTCATGACCAAGAAGCTTGACAAACTGTCAATAACCGACAGCTCTGAGCATTAGCCCTGAATGAGCAATACACAGTGCTTTCGTTCGAATAATCAGTGAAGTCTTCACCATTCCGTACACATGCAAGTAGCCGGCTTTTGTCTTTGTATGGAGTCGCATGTTTTATCAGGACTTAATGGGAAGGTCATACATGTGATACTTGGTATGAATACTTAGTCATACAAAAAAAGTTAAACATTGAATTTTGTTCTCTTTATCCTACCGTAGGCAGGAAGGGAATCTTTCAGGAGGATGCCGACGGCGACGCAAGATACGCTGTAAACAGACGAAAGTATTTGCACTGAAACTCCAGAGGTGCTTGTTCTAATGAAACCGGGAAGAAACGAAACAGAAATAAGCAGAATGTAGGTCCAAAACACGATATATATTTTGTGGTTGGACACGTAGACGTATGATGGTCTCTTAACTAACTAGGGTTTGCACACGAACAGCCACAACAAGTGAGATGGATGCCTGATGGCGTACCTTCAGCTTAACGAGACTACCTAAAAAGTAGTGGTTAACACCCAACGTCGGGTGGCGAATATTGCAGACAGTCTCATCATGATGCTAGAAATTCCAAGAAGTGTTTTTGAACCTAATTTATCCTCCCTTTTCCTTTACAATGAACTAGAAAATCAGAGGATATAGCAGGAGCGTTCAAAAGCGAAGGTGGAACTGAATCTTTGTTGAGCACTGGTCCTCCGCCTCAGTCATATACACTTGGAAAAACTCCCAAAAATAGTGTTATCTTCGTCCTAAATCGGCTTATGCAAGAAGAGACACCAGTATGGAACCACTGAAAAAGACTTGAAGCTTTCTATCATCATTCAAAACTCTTAATTAGAAGTTGTCCTGCTGATCGTCACAAATCAAATTAAAGCCTTCATTATACAACAAACCAGGAAGATTAATGTAGCCATTAAGTCTGATGTTTTAATAACCTGTAAACTTTACGCTGTGAAGTGTTAGCAATTGGCATTTGCTTTTTGTTTATCTTGCTCAACTTTGATTAACTTCTGACTAGTGTCATTTTCAACTTAGCTACTATGGATTATATATTTGTGACAAAGATTAAATTATTTTTTCCTTAGATTCTTCGTAAAAAATGGGTAAGATTAATCTCTTCAGTGTTCTCTTACTTATTTTCATTTAAATTGTTCATTTTTACTTTGAATTGGCAATAACTCGTTATGTCCAGTTACTTTTCACTCATATCAGTTTGACTATTGGACTTTCACTTTTCACAATAACCTCGTTAATTGTACTCATATACGTTCACACGCCTCATCAAGCTCCCCAGTCTTTCCAGGCAACTTTTTATTGGTGTCTGAGTTCACATTAGATACGGTAAACAATTGTGATCGCAAGTCTGCTAATTTAGCTATATGACAGAGCTAACAAAAAACTACTGAAGCCGAAAAGTCTCAAGAATCAGCGCGAAAGGTAATTATTTTCGAGAGGAAGGCAGAAATGACAGAGGAGATGGTTTGTTATTCACCCATCTTGATGTATTTACATGTGAATAAATGTTTTATGCAGTTAAAATAGATTCGACAACGTCTACATTTTGAGTCAGCCAAAAGTTGTTGGCCGCATCATCATTTGAAGGGTAGACATAAACTTGTTTAGAAAACAATGCAAAAGCCAAGTATTGTATTTTGACATAATATAAGATTTCAGTTTTCAGATATACATGTCAAGCAGTAAAATACTACTCTTGGTTTATGAATTACTGTTTCAATTAGTAGCTATTTTAACTTTCGTGAATGTGAACTCTTTAGTGCTGAAGTTTTAGTTGATTAGCTATTACTGCGCCTGTATGAGCTATAGTCTAACAGATTATGTTTTCAACTTCTAACCATTACATCATGTTTTTACATCTCACTATGTCCGTAAAATCAAGTCTTGAAGTAATAAGTGTAGTCTGTAGCTTAACTACGTGCTTTCCAATAGTTGCTGTTTCCCATCTGTTTGTTGCTTTCCCCGTGAATTGAGAAGTGCGAAATGTAACGTTAGTAAAAACAATATATTTGTGTTTTTCATTCATTGGGAAATACAAAAACTTATAATAATGAGTTTTTCCTCATAACTGATTTCACCAGGGGCATATTTAGTTATCACTAGGACTTTATAATTTCATGTTGTCCACTTGAATAATATTTACATATTTTATCACTGTCAGTAAGTATACAAAACATATCTCATGTCTGGAGTAAATTTGCTTGACCGATAGCTGCTACCTCAACGTGTGTTAGTTGGGGATACATATCTTAGTGACTCAGTGAACCATACTAACTGAAACGAATGTGTTCCTACTATACCCGAAAGGTCAGTTTGATAACTGTTGCACTAAAAGGAGCTACCATTATTGTGTAAGCCACTTAAACTATGTTCAGGGTCCAAGAGTGAAGTCGTACTGCTGGCAAATAGGGGTGTAACAACAGTATGTTAAATCTTTCAGACAGTCATCCAATGGGCTGAGTTATCTCATTGTTCTGGAGAGAGGGATTTAGGAAATATGAAGCCTCAAGCAAATGTTCCTTGGACTCAGACGTCATGCATCACTAATAAATTTGTTGATACTGACTTGGTCTAAAATCTGTGGAAGAGCTATAAGTTGAATGGCTCGTAGGTGACACGTAAAATTAAATTATTCTTATTAGGCACTTCCAGATAAATATGTTCCTACACTTTGATATGATTAATACGCACCAGTGCATCTCGATTCTTATTTTGATAGAACTAAAAATTAGAAAGACTTGAACCACTAAAAGATCGAACTTATTACGGAGATATCTTCGAAGGTATATTTTAGTGGGAAATCATTTGTTCTTATTAAGATTATGCAGTTTGGAAATTTAGCTACTGTAGCCTAACGTAAGTGCAGTACGGTGATAATCCGAATGGAAATGAAAGATTAAGCAGCAATAATGTTGGAATCTAAAAACTGTTACTTCATATGTTGATAATAACTGGGCTTTCATATCGTTTTAGGCTGAACTCTTTACAGGATTTTTTATCTTCACTGCTAAAATTTATGAAATTATTATGAAGTAGCTATCCAGGGCTCTTCTTTTAGTACTGAGATTAGTCGTCAAGTGTTAGATAAGCAGGGAAAATCAGTCGGTGAGATTATGAAGTTACATTGCCTTCCTCGACGAGCAATGTTCGTTGACACAGGATTAGGTTGGGAAAAAGATTCGGGGATGGTCAAACCAAAACTTAGCATCACTCTACGACTTCTCTAACAGTTATTCTGAGACACATAGGGAAGTGTGGGCTTCTTGGTTGGGGTCCCCAGGATGGTAGAAACCAATGACAGCTGGAGACAGTTGGTGATATGGCGCAGATACATTTTCTTTTTGTGATCTCCCACACCAATTAGGCCCTAATGTTTCTCCATGTTACTGTGTTTCCTCCCTGACTTTTGTGCTTATTACAGTCCTTTTGAATTCTTTTCCTTTCTATCTCTTTTCTGCTTTTGTGTGCCACTTGTGGAGTGTGGTAACTTGAACTGCTACACTTCTGTGCAGAGTTCTATCTCCAAACTCAGTCAGCAAGCCAGTCAATCCGAGCTCTTCCTTCATACCTCTCGTTCTTAGTAGAATATAGAGCATGAAGCTTTGAAGTTCCAGTAGGTGTGGTCTTATTTTTATAAGGTGGGGTTGCTAGATAACCTCATGCACGACCTTTACGCCTTTCCCTATCTTCCAAGGCTTACTTCTGACTAGTAAATTAGGCAAGGTTTAGAAGGGGGTGTCGTCTGAAAGTTGAACCCAAACCTCCTAAATCACAGGTGAGCATCCTACACATGAGCCACCGATGTATTCATCAGTGCTCGCTGACCAAATATCCTCATACTGGTAGTGTCTATTCTTTAAGACATTTATTGTGAAATTAATTGAGTTCTCGCGAACATAACATTTGATTATGAGATAGTTTTTTTGGAAGATACTCACTAGCATATTACAAAAATAGAAAAGCAGATATATCAGTAAAAAGATTCTTGTTTCGGAGAGCTCATTTACACAATTGTACAATCTCATATTTGTTCGAGTTTTTGATAAGTGTTATTTGAAGTAGTCAGTCAACTATATCAACCTCAAAAAATAGTCATAATATCATTCTCATCATAATTTGAATAGAAATCATCTATAAAATGATGTTCATATTTGCTTAGAGTGGTCAAAAGTACAAAAGTTCAACTACGTGTTTTTTGTTTTCATTTATGTCTGGATTAGGATTATTCTTAAATTGAAAGATAGTAAGGACCTCTAGATAGTCAACGAACTCAGTGGGTTTCCACGGTACCTGCTGTCAAGCTTACTGTAGTGAACACGAAAATTAAGGCGAACTACGTGTTTTATTTTCACCAACTTCGAATATGTTCAATTATTGCACTTGTAATTTATCAGTTATTGCTTCAACAGCACATCTCCGTCTTGTTATCTGAAATCCTCTTTGGATGGCCCCAAGACTACTCATAGGTTCTCACTTCCTCCTGACGCAATCTCATCCATGTCACTCTCGGACTTGTATCAGCGTAGGACTTTGTACAGATGTGCATTAGTACGAGTTGCCACACTCCCTCCATGTAGCACACAAACCAAGAGAAGAGACGAAAGCGTGGTTCAAAAGACAGATAATAAATCGAAGTAACATGGAAGAACAATAGGGTTTTAATGGATATGAATAATGACAAAGAGTGAATGCATCTGCGCCAGCCATCACCAAAAAAGACGATTTTGAGCCATATCACTAACTTTCTCCAGCCTTGATTGATTCTTACCATCCCCGGGAGCCTAATCAGTTAGACAACCAGTCTACATCTCCCTACTTGGCTGGCGGGCCTAAACTAACTGTTATGCATCCCATTGACTGCTGAAGCCATGTTTTCGTTCGATCACCATGCGCTAGCTCTTTTCCAACCTGATCGATGCTATGTCAGCTAAAATCGCTCGCCGGGGAAAGCGATCGGTGGCTAGCCATGCATGTGTAACACATGTCCCAAGCATTATCTCTATCGATGTAACTTCATAACCTCACTGACTGATTTTTCATCCTCACCTATCACTCAACCTATGCCTCACTTCAATATTGCTCAACCTATTACACCTACCACCTAACACGGGAGATAGAATTCAGACACTTATGATGGAAGACAGCAAGTCAGGTTTTTCATGTTTTCCACTTTGACTGGCAATGTCTCACTCACAGTGGTAAAAGAGGACGGGGCGAACTGGTGAGTTGTACAAAAGTACATGGATCGATAGCCAATTGGATATCACGTCTACGCCAGTGGTAGTATAGTAGGGCACTGAGGAACATTCATTCCAGCCGTTGTAACTCGTTGGGTCATTGCGATGTGCAATCCCGACCACCACTTCAGAATAGTAGTTAACCGTCGATTCTGGGTAGGTTGGACAGGGTTTGGACCCGTGACCACACGAATGCCCATAGCCTCTCATCTTCTCACACAACCTCCTCCTTGTCACCCTCGGACCGATACCCAGCTCGTCGTTTCCCATTCGGATTCCACTCGAGCTATTCCACAGTGTGTATCAGATAAATCTCCATTTTCTTCTACATATTCTTTGAGCAGCGGGTGCTTGGTTGGTTTGTTCTCAAAGTTTTTTAACGAATCCTTTTAGTACGGCTATTTAATCTTCATTATGGAGCCGGCAAAGGTTGAGGAAGTTGCATCTTTCAAATTTTTCCCGTCGACAGTTATTGGTGCTTGTTGTTGCTGTTGGTTGGTTGATTATCTTCATAACCTCCGTCTTCTCTATGTTTACTTGAATTCCTGTCTTCGCTGACTTCTTCTCCTGCCAGTTTGTGGGTTCTCTCTTGTATGTCTTCGAATGCATGTGGTATTAGACACAAATCGTCCTCCATGTCCTGATTTCCTAGTTTCTTTCTTCTTATCAGTTCAACGTTTTCCTGTCTTCTCGCTCTCCACAGTCTGCTGCATGATTCAGACCACCATAATCAGTAATATCATTGGTGATAGTGGACAGCCTATCTTATATACCCATATAGGATAGTGTCCCTTAATCCTTCTTGATACGGCTTTCAACGAACGACTAAAATATCATGCTTCAAAGGACTT